CTTCACCAACGCGCGAAGTTGTGCCTGGGCGCTCCCGCTGCCACTCGTCATCGTCATTCGAGCGCCTCTCTAACTCTGCTGGCCCAGATCATCGTCGCCGGCACTTGTCCGCGTGCTCGCGTGGCCAGGGGGGCGGTGGGTGGCGGGCGTTTCCCTTAGTTGTAACGAGGGCCTCGATGGGTGGAGGAATGGTGGCAGGGTAGCACTGCGACTCGGCCTCGTTGCATAACGGTCGTTGAGAGAAGATGCGTCTGCATCGCCAGATCCGAATTCACATGATGTGCCTTCTCACTTCAATCTTCGATCGATCAGGTGGCTGGCGGAAATCCCGTAGAACATTTATCCTCTTCTCAGTTTGCGTTTCTGCCCGTTTCTTCAGATTGTTGGGCGGTTCTACCTTGTTCTTGCTGGAATGGGGCAAGTTAGCGCCACCAGCCTACCCCCAGTCGAGGGATGTTGATTGGTTTCTGGCGTGAGCCGCCGATCTGGGGCGCCCCTTGTGCCCGAGGGCCACCACCGCGCAGCCTCGGAGCAAAGTGTTGTTTGAGGCTCGAGCTGCTTGGAGGTCTTCGCCGGTTTTGGGCCCAGCGCTTTCCCTTCCGAGCAGCGCCCAGTCACGCCGTGCACCTCTGGCCTTGCAGCGCGCGAGGCGGCGCCTATTGGGGCCTTTTGGTGGCCGTTGGGGCCCGCTTGGGCCGTCTGGGGGCCCCCTTGGGAACCCATTGGGCTGTCTATGGGCGGCCTGCCGCGCCTCTTGCAACGTCTTGGGCGCTCTCACGGCCGAGCAGGCGACATTGCTAACACCGCACCAAACAATGATAAGATTTTGCAGACTTGGGCATCGTGGATCCTCCTGCCGAGCCCTCTTGCGGCCCTCTTGAAGCGTCCTGGAGGGCTCTCGGGCAGTCTCGAGACCGTCGTGGGCGTCCTGGGGCGCTCTTGGGCAGCCTCGTGCGCCTCTCGGACCGTCTAGGTGACCTCCCGGGCCCCTTTTGGCCCGTATTGGGGCGGTTTGGGAATTCATTGCAGTGGGGGTCCATGCCGAGAAACTCCCTGTTTGCCTCCAGGGCGTCTTGAGCTTCTTGGGTTTCGATGGTTTTGCAACTGAAAGCGCGACGTTCTCATGCAAAAATCAATGGGCGTTTTGGGCCCTCAGGGTTGGGTTTCTTGTGGAAGGTTTCTTGCGGTCGGGCCTCCACTGTATCCGGCCACCCTTGCACCCTTCCACCCTAACGGAGCTGACGGTCGGATTGTAGTTTTCCGCAGAGCCGGAGCCCGCATTCTAGCCTACCCCAACCGATTTGCATATACATGGTAGTGGCCTCCAGCCAGTGCCGCCGATCCGGGGCGCTCCGGATGATGATGGTGATGACGATGGTGATGATGATGATGATGATCATGATGATGATGATGGTGATGATGATGATGATGATGATGATGTGACGATGGTGATGGTGATGGTGATGGTGATGCGACGATAGTGATGGTGATAGTGATGGTGATGGAGATGGTGATGATCCCGCGCCCCCCCACTCACCCTCCCTCCTCTCTCCTGTCCCCCCCATCTCTTCTGTCCCCCCGCCCCCCCCCTTTTTCGTGTCCCCCCCATCTCCTGTCCCCCCGCCCCCCCCCTCTCTCCGGTCCCCCACTCTCTCCTGTCCACCCAGCCCCCCTCTCACCCCCCCTTTCTCATGTCCCCCACCCCCTTTCTCCTGTCACCCCCCCTCTCTCGTGTCCCCCTTTTCCCATCTCTCCTTTCCCCCCCCCCCCCCTCTCTCCTGTCCCCCCCTCCTCTCCGACCCCCCTCCCCTGTCCCTCCCCCCACCTCTCTCTCCTGCCCCCCCCCCTCTCTCCTGTCCCCCCCCTCTCTTCCTTCCCCTCCCCCTCCCTCCTGTCCCCCCCCCTCTCTGTCCCCCCTCCCCCTCTCCTCCTCCTTCTCTCCTGTCCCCCCCTTCTCTCCTGTCCCTTCCATTCTCCCCCCCCCTCTCCTGCCCCCCCCCCTTTCTCTCCTGTTCCCCCCCCCTTCTCTCCTGCCCACCCCCCCTCCCCTTTTCCCTCTCCCCCCTCTCCCTGTCCACCCCTCCCCCCTCTCTCATGTCCCCCCCCCTTCCCCCTCCTCTTTCCTTTTCCCACCCCCTGGTGGGCGGAGGTGCCGAGCACATAATTCGTCAGGTAATTACGTTCCCCCCTTCTCCTTCCCTGGCAGGGTGGGGGGAGGGTACCGAGCACATAATTCGTCAGGTAATCACGTCCCCCCCCTCCCTCCCTCCCAAGCAGAGCTACAGCTCATGCTGAAGCAGGGCTTCAGCGTAGACTTCTTAAACTCACACGCCGGATCGGCAGATTTTTGTTTATATATATATATATATATGTATACGTGCATATATATATATATATATATATATACACATATGCATACATACATAAAGATATAATTCACACGCCGGATCGGTGCATCTACCGCGAAGCCCGAAGGAGGCAGCACGCATCACACATCCGCATCAGGGGGGCGTAGGTTGGCCAGCGCGGCCAGGGCTTTCCTGGTGGGCACGGGGATGCATCTCGCGATGCCGCGCCCCGGCCGCCGCGGCCCTGCTCTCCACCGTCCTTCCCCGCCTTCCTGATCGAGGAGGCGAAGATCGAAAGTCGAAGATGGGATCGAGGATCGAGGTGCAAGGATCGTGGGTCTCCTCCTCCCCCCCCCATCCCCTTGCCCCACCCCAGGAACACGGGGCGTCCCGAAGTCCCGACCCTTTTACCCCAGGTTCGACTGTTCATCCTATAGGTCGGTGTTGGACGGTGCTGGGGCCTGGCGAGGGCCCCTAGAGGCAGAAGAAGCGGCGAGAAACGCCCGTATCGTTTGTTGCGAGCGTTTGAGGTTTGGGGGTCGAATCGGCATCTCTCGGGGCATAAGCATACATTGGTGATAAGAATTCCTTGGGGATAATTTGCATCGGGGTACAGGCGGGATCATATTTTCTCCCAGGGATATCGATGTTCGGATGTCTGCATCGCCTTTCGCCCCAAGACATCCTCACAGTCTGGGAACTTCGCAGGGGATGGCAAGGGTCGGCCTCCCCAGCTGCTGTTTCAACGGAACCACACTCAATCCCGTGGACATAGAGATACGAGCGGAAAGGGGGAGGATGCCGTAACTACAGTCAAAAACCCTAATAAGGACGTGCGATTTTGCTCAGGGTATCCTTGCGTCCTTGCTCTTCCTTGCTCTTGCGTCTCCGTCCTTCCTTGGTTTCGTTTTGGGGTTTTCGTCGCCCGCCGCCCCAAAATTCCCAACTTCGGCTTCCAAGGGTCTTGCGTCCTTGCCGCGCGTCCTTATTAGGGTTTTTGACTGTATCCGGGAGATGCGGTTCAGCCCGGTCTGCGGAGGCCGTGTGGGATGGTTCGGGCTCCCCCGGAACGCTCTCGGCGGCTCGCGGCTGCGCAGCTGCTGCAGCTCGCGCCTCGGGGCTGCAGAGTCTCCGGGAGCCGACGAACACCTCCACGCGAGACCAGACCGAACCAATCCACACAAGGCCACACTGCCAGCCGATGACCTGATGCTCAGGCCGCCCGTGTGGCTTGGCATCGCTCGGACTTGTGCATGTTTCCTTCGGCGAGGACCATCGAGGGGCATACTTGATCATTTGGCGAAAAAACCACGCACGAAACTGAAAAAACACAAAGAATGGACGTCCGAGCGATGGCGAGGTGGGGCCGGAGCAGACAAGGTCGGAGGGCCGCGCCGCATCGCCGTTGCACCGCCGATGCAGCATGATGCCGAGGCCGACTCTGTCCATCTCGACGCGCTCGATGCAACGCCGATGCGGCACGATCCTCCGGCCCCACCTGCTCAGAGATTCGATGTTTTGTTTTTTTCAACATGGGACCCCGGCAGTTGCGACCCCCTTCCTGGGACCGCCTTTTCATCCCGACTCGTCTTCCGACGGTCTCGAGGCCCGGCGAGGGTTTGGGTTCATTTCGACTCGTCCGACTCGATTCGATGCCGATCGATGCCGATTCTGATTCGATTCGAACCCGGACTCCGATTTGGATCTCGATTTTTCCATGGATGCGTGTTTTTGGCCTGCCGATTTCCGCCGATTCGACTTGGCCCGACTTGGCTGCCGATGTCCGCCGATCCAATCAATTTCGATCGCCGATCCGACATCGATTCTATTCTGAGCTCGCCTGCCAGGGGCCGAAAAATCGGGGCTGGACAGACCCATCCTGACACGTCGATTAGTGAATTGTCCGTTTTCGGTTCTCGTGAGGGCGCCGCGGTCGTCATTTTCCAGGCTTGCGCCCGCCAGGCTTGGGCCCGAGGTCGTTGTCACCAAACTACGTTTCACTCGAGGGGGCACTGTCCATGCCCGAAAAAAATACAGGGAGGAGCGCTCGTCTCGATCCTTGCCGTGCGTGGGGTGGCCCGGGTGCTCGGCCCCAGAGCTGGGCGGCTGCCGTGCCTTCCACGGGGCCCGAGGCGCCTCGGAAGCCTCCAGGGGCGCGTCGGCAGCAACTCGTGGGAGCCTCGCGTGCCCTCGAAAGGCCATCTTTAGAGTCGGGGGCAGCAAGGAGGGGGGTGATGACTAGGGGGGGGGGGGTATCATGGCGGGGGCAATGATACTTCCCCAGATTTTATGGCGCCTCTTCTTATTTCGTTACGTCCCTGGCCCCCCGCTGGGCCGCGCACGTGCCGCCGGTCATGATTTGCACATCCCCCTCTTGGACGTCTCCCTCTTGGCCGCTCCCGACAGAATGCACTAGCGTGCGCTAGCGCCTGGTAGGCTGTGAGGAAGCGCCGACTCGGTGTCCCTCGGCGTCGATTTCGCGTCTATTTCGCGCCGAGCAGCGTCGAGTAGGTAACGTCGGGGCGTGGGCGAGCGTGGATGTCGCAGGGTCCAGCAGGATGGCACGGGAGGCTCCCAGGGGTTGCCACAGAGTGCTCGTCACGACGACGGCCCGTCCGTGGCCGCCAGAGCCCCCGCGCGCCGCCGGGAGAGGCGCGCCTGAAGGGCGAGGCCGCCGGCCTGGAGGAGCGCCCGTCCGCGGCAGCGCCGCGGCCCCCGCCCACGCAGATCTGCGACGACATTCTTTCGCCTGCTCATGGGGGTCAGCCTGTGGGGGTAAGGACATGGTATCCTGAATTCCTTGGTGTCGGGCGAAGGGAACTATGCACGTGCACCGATCCTGACAACGCCCATCCTTGACCCAGGATCGGTGCATGTACCTTCCTGGCCAAGGTAGGAGGGCGTATGCAGCGATCCTGGGCTCAGGATGGTCCTGGCCAGAATCGGTGTATGTGAATAGTTCTCTTTCCTCTACGATGTTCCCTGTTCGGGGCCGTCGTATCTGTTTCAAAACAAGTTTGTCCTTAGCCTCTCCATGGCAACGCCGTGCACAATCCTCTCCCCGGGCAGTTGCGTTCGTCAGAGAAGAGTGTTGTGCTAGTTTGCTTGTCGCTGACACTCACCCTCAGAATTCTGACCCCTATCACCAGGCGAGTGTGGCGGCATGGCTTGTTTGCTTCAATAGTTGAAGAGTAACATTAAATCGGGCGTGTCCGTCTACAGGAGGAAAATACAATAATTGTCAAAATATAGTTTTGGGAAGGTGTTTCTGTTATTTAAGACTATGTTTGAGCATGTTTTGCAGATTTTTGATTTTTCTTCCAAAATCAGCCTGCAGGGGGACATGCCCGACCTAAGAGTAACAAGAACTGCATCAACTACAGCTTTCGGCGCTGCGCGCAGATTCCGTGGATCTGCGCAGGGTCCCCCCGGCGGCGCCTCCCACCCCAGCGCTGGCGCGCTCCCGCGCGGGCGGTCCCAGCGCAGATGAAAAACATACGCGCGGACCTCCGAACGCGTACTTGCACCTATACGACCACCCTTCGGGTGATAACGATGTTCGGGGGGCGGGGGGAGAAACCAACGTCTCACGCAGTTGATAGAATTATCGATCTCACTATTGGCCTCGCTATCGGTATCACTATCGGTATCACTGCCAGTCTCACTATCGATGGCATTGTCGATATCACTATTGATCCCATGATCGATCTCGTTATCGATCTCACTATCGAGTTCACTATCGATATCATTATTGATCACACTATCGATCTCACTATTGACCTCACGGGACACGATGGGACACCGCGAGACACCGCGGGATACCACGGGACACCATCGAATCGAGACACCACGGCGGGACACCGCAGGACACCAGGGGACACAATGGGACACAATCACGGGACACCATCAGGGGACACCATGGGACACAGCGGGACACCAAGACACCACGGGACACCACGGGACACCACGGCGAGACACTCTTGGCACCCGTTCGCCACGCGTGTGGGGGGGCGGATTTCTGTTTTCGCCGCGCCCTAGCTAGAGGAGGGTTTATTCCTTTCTCCCGTCCGCGCAGCTTCGTCTCCCCCGCAAGCACGACACGAACCCGAACCCGAAACCGATTTCCCAGTGGGGGGCTCTCCGTTCCTTTTCGATCTCACCTCCTCGCGTCCAATGCCGTTTCTACTTTCTCTTTCGCGGCGTGTAGAAAAAAAGATGTTGGCCTTCGCGAGGTCCGTGATCGGGCGGCGGGACCATTAAAACGGATCTAGTCGGGGCTAGCGTTACGGGGGTCAGCGTTAACGAGGGTCAGCCAAATTCTTTTGGCTGGCCGAGGCCAGTGCAGACCCATGCCAAGAAACGCCTGGCTTGTCTCCAGGGTGCCCTTGGTGTCTTGGGTGTCGATGGTTTTGTTATAGAAGGCGTGATGTTTCCACACCAACAAATCCATGGACGTCCTGGGGTCTCGGGGCTGGGCTTTTTGCGGAAGGCTTCTTGTGGCGTTGTGCGCGATTGTGTGTTTGTTCACGCCGCGGCCCCCAAAGAGCCGCTCACCAAGGGTCTCTCTAGTCCAGGATTAAGTCAGGCGTGTCCCTCCTCTACAGGAGGAATATTCAAACATAGTCCAAACATAGTCTGGGGACGATCTCTTCGGACTATTTTTGAATATTGTTTCGAGCATTTTGTTTCAGACTATTTTTCATTGTTCGTCCGAGATTCGCCTGCATGGGGGACTGGCCCGACCTAAGTCCAGGGTCGCTCTTGCGTGCAGCCGATCTGTGCGGCTCCCGTCTTCCCCGCGAGGGCTTTTCTTCGCCCGCCCTCGCCAACCCGATGATCCCCCCCTCGGGCCGCTGCTTGCTGCAGCTCTGAGGGATCGCCTCTCGTCCCTGCTCCCTCCTCCTCCGCCTTCCTCCTCCTCCTCCTCCCTCCCTCCTCCTCCCTCTCTCCTCCGCCTCCTCCGCCTCCTTCGCCTCCTCCTCCTCCTCCTCCTCCTCCTCCTCCTCCTCCTCCCACTCCTCCCTCCGCCTGCTCCTCCTGCCCCTCGCTTTCCTCCTCTCTCCTCTGTCCTCCTCGCTCTTCCCTCTCTCTCTCAGCCCCATCCTCTGACCCCGTCAGAGGTGCGCCTGGACTCACGGGGGAATCGGGGCACTCGTTGGGAAAGGGTCTCGTGAGGTGCGGCCTCGCAGGAGCAGTCCTTCGTGCCTGCAGCGAAGGGAGGGGTGGATGCAGTCCGGGGCGGGGCCTGCAGTTCGGGGGGGTGTGGCCCTCTGTGGTGCAGGGGGAGCGCTGTGGTCTGGGGAAAGAGATCCTGGGGTCCCTAGCAGGGGTCGACCCAAACCAGGCTTACGCGATTTCTCGTGGGCCGCTCTCGTTCCGAGTCCGATGAAGGTATCACGAGGGCTTAGTGGGCCCCGGAAACGGCAGGTCCGTTTTTCACCGCTTCCGAAAAAGTGCCTCGTGAAAGTGGAAACGGCAAACAAAAACAGCGACTGGAAACGACAAGACGAAACTGTTCCAGGATTGGAGCCGGAGCTGGAACTGGTAAAACAGCGACGACGGAATCGGTTGAAAAACGGCGTCGGAACCGGGAAGCAAAATGCAAAACGAAACGGGTAAAATAGAAGGCCCTGCCTTTTCCAGGGCCCCCCTCAGCACGAGGGAGAGCGAAGCCAAAACGACAGCGAAAGCCACTGCTTGGGACGATCCCTGGTCCCTCGTCGCCCGGGGACCCAGCTCTCTCGGGAGGCGGGGGGCGCCCCCTCGTCGCGAGGGTGCGTCAGGGCAGGCAGGGCGGAGGCGCCCCGGACCCCCCAGTACGACTGGGACGGCAGCGGCCTCGCGGACTCGAACTACATCGAGGTGTCCTGCGGCTACTTCACGCCTGCCACGACGAAGACGAAGCAGATGACCACCTGCAGGTACCTCAGGCTGGAGCTGCAGGATCGCGCGGCGGCTGTTTTTTTTTCCCCCTCAGAGCACTCATGTCGGAACGCAGCTCCCCACTGTAATCCTTGAAGTCCCCAGTGGGCCACGTCATCTGATGCATCATGCTCTCCTGCGCACCAGCACCACCTGTGTCTTCTTCGTCGTCGCCAGATTGGTTTGTTGTCTCTGTCTCTCTCTCTCTCTCTCTCTTCCTTTCTGCCTTTCGCTTCTTGCCTCTGCCTCCCTCCCTTCTCAATCCAATGTCTCTTCATCTCCCTCCCTCTGTCTCTCTCTCTCTCTCTCTCTCTTCTCATGCCCTCTTCTGTCTACTCTCCCTGCTTCGGGGCTGGACAAGAAGCGGCTATGTTTGTTCAAGCCATTGGCTCGTGTTGGGCACGCAACCGGTGTAATGCACGAGATCATCCTGGCGCTCGTAAAATGCCGCCTCGCTGTTGAGCGGAGATGCGCCATGCATGCGATCGCACAGACGATGCGCAGAAAGGGAGGAGGAATAGCAATTCCTCCAAACCCTTTACGTCGGGAGTCAATACCCCCCTTCCCCCCTCTCCTCCCTCCCCGTGCCCGCCCACACCCGGACCTCCGACGTAATGTTTCTGTTCCATAACGTGGGCCCCCAGAGGTCGGGGCCTGTTCTCCAGGACCGGCAATTCATCCCGTCTCTCTGAGGGCGCGCAATGGGGGGCGATGCAGGGGGGGGGGGCAGCGAGGACTACAGAAACGGTGCCCTTCTCGGGCCCTCAGAGGCGCCCTTCAGGACCCAGAAAGGGGCCCGTGGAGCCCGAGAAGGGCACCTTGCTCCCCCTCTCCCAGAATCGCCCCCCGCCTCAAGTCGCGCCGAGCGAGTCGCTCGTGGACGGCCCTGGGGCCCCGCGAGGGCCCCTGGAGGCCGAAACACGGCAGAACACTTCTCCCGTCGTGCCGCAAAGGGCGCCGTTCTCCCCCCCCGTCCCTTTTCATGTACCGCCCCCCCCCCCCCCCCCTCATTCACTTCGCGCCCAGGGAGTCCTTCCTGGACGGCCCTCGGGGGGGCCCACCGAGGGCCCCCGGAGGCCGAGACAGTCAGAGAGAAAACCTCCCCCGCCGTGCTTTGTCCACTTCTGCTGCGCGCCCCGAGGGCTAAGTCGGGCGCGCCCCCCTGCAGGAGGATTTTGGGGCGAGAGATCAAAAAAGATTCAAAACATGTCCCCCCGAATTGGCAAACAATAGTCATGACATCGTCCCCAGACATCTCTTGGACTATCTTTGAACATCCCTCCTGCAGAGGGACAGGCCCGATCTAGCCCGCGGGGGGGGCCTGGGCACTCGGCCTCCCGCGCACGCGCGCGCCGAGGGCATCCCCCCCAGTTGCGACCTGCAGCGGAAGCCTGTGCCGAGAAGCCCCCTGCTGGGGCTCGGTGCGGTTCCTCCGATTCGATTCGGCTCGGTGTCGATGGCCTCCGATTCCGACTCGACGCTGGCACGGAGCTGTGAGCATCAGTGTGCCGCTGCCCTCCCTTTCGGTGGAGAGCCATGCCAAGAAACACCCTACTTGCCTCCAGGGTGCCCTGGATTGCTTGGGTCTCGCTGGGGTTGCTATGGAAAGCGTGACGCTCCCACACCAAAAATCAATGGACGTCCTGGGGTTCCAGGGTTGGGGTTCTTGTGGAAGGCTTCTTGTGGTCGAGGTCCTACTGTACCCTCTCTCCCCCCTCTTTTTCGGGGAAGTAATCGGCGGCGAGCGAAGGGGAAAACTTTCGAGGTTCGAGGTTCGAGGTTTTCGGACGTTTGCATCAGTTCTCGGCGGTTTTCCAGCTTCGGGATGCTTGCCAACACATGCGCTTCGCCGAGGGTGTTCCAGGGGGGCCTGGATCGTCCCGATCGGCCGCTGGAGACACGAGCTATCTCACCCCAAAACCAAGAAGCCGTTGTTTGCGTTCATGCCGATGTGTCTTCTGACTGGCAGCGCTCATCTGGCAGCGCTTGTTGGCAATCTTTGTTTTGGCAACTCGGAGCACACGGCCGGCTCTGGCCCCAGCCACCTGCCTCGGCCACGGAGACGACCCCGCGGCCCCCGTGCTAATCATCAAGTTTCCCCCCTCCCTCGGAAAGCCACCAGATCGTCGCCACGAAGAGGGGACCTGCAGGAATACATGAGGTTTGGCTTCGACAGCGTCCGTCTGGATGACCCCGCCGACGTAGCAGATCTACTGACCCACAGGGCCCGCGGCGACGTCGGGGTGTCTGGCCGGCACGCTGTCGTCGTGGCCGTGCCGCCCTCTGGTTCTGGGGTCAACTCGTGTCTCCAGCGACCGCTCGGGACGATCCGGGCACCCCCGGAACGCCATCGACGAGAAGCACTTGTTTGCAAGGATTCAGAGGCTGGAAAACCGCCGAGAACTGACGCAAAACGACCCCAAACCTCGAAACTCGAACCTCGAACCTCCTTCTCACCTCCACATACGGGCTCGCCGCCGATCACGGGGGGTAGTCGTAGCGGTGTCGGAGGAGGAGGAGAAGGAGGAGGAGAAGGAGGAGGAGAAGGAGGATCAGCAGGATCAGGAGGGGGAGCGAGAACGAGCCACGACGCGGAGGCATGATGCGGGACAAGGGGGGAGGAAGGGAGGACGAAGAGGGGCAGGAAAGGGGGATGAGGAGGAGGAGGAGGAGGAGGAGGAGGAGGAGGGGATAATGAGATGAGGACGGGGAAGCAGGTCTGCAGGCCCACCCCGCTTCCCTGTCGCCGTGCCCCCGCTGGCGAGCCGCTGGACCTCCTTAACCTCGGGGGCCTCGACGGATGGGTGTCCAAGGTTGCCTACAACGGCAGCCAGGCCCGGCGCCGCGGCCCCGCTCCGACAATCTGCTGGTGCCCCTCCTCCCTCTCTCCTCCCAGCCCATTTCAGCAGCAGCCAGTTCTAAGTAGGCCCCTCCTCGCTTACCCCACGCCACATGCGTCCCAGTAGCTCTATGTTGGGCGGGCGGGGCGCCGCGCGCCGCCAGGGTGTGGTGCGGCTGGCGTTCTTGTGATGTGCGCGCTGCCAGCTGATCGGCTACAGCCCGTGCAGCGTTTTACAGACCAGGCGTCTGTCGAAAAACAGTGCGAGTATGAGGACGGTTTGTTTCTTGCACTGACTAGTGCGATATGAAGAGCCTGCCCATCATTAGCAGTGCGGTCTCATCACCAAAGAGTGCATCATTGTATTCACTGCTGCTACGGCCGAGGTCTATTCAGGAACGCATGTGTGGATGTTTCAATTGATGTTCACAAGAATCGGCTCGCGTGGGGCACAATGTTTCGGACCTCGTCGCCGCCTGGTACTGCGATGGGCCGTGGTGTAATTGTGCGTGCCCCTAGCCAAAAAACGGACACCACGGTCATCGCGCTGTGTTTTTTTGTTTCTGGTAGGTGTCGGTCGAGCGGCTGTCTCTTGGAACGTTAGAGTTGTTGTTTTGTTTCTTGTGGCGGTCAAACGAACATGCTCGGATTTGAGATTTGTTTTGCGCTGATCCACACTGAGTTTAACGGCTCGTTTTCGGCAGAGGCTGGCGACTGTTGTAGACGTATTGGGACATCCGCACAACATCGCATGGGGTATGTTGGCAGTGTTTTCGAGAGCTCGTTGATCGGCATCACCTTTGTTGTCCTGATACCTGCTTCAAGACTTAATTCGCTTATTACAACAGTGGGCACACCTGCACCTGCTGGATCCATTCCACTGCAGCCCCAGTTGAACTACGGGCACGCATGCGCAAGTGCTGTCGTTTGATCAGGCCTGTGCGCTTGCTCCAGCTGTGTCCATGCACGGGCAAGCTCAGTGACCACGCCCAGATCTTGCTGAACATTGACGTTGTCCCGCCCTCTCAGTGAGCCGATGGCGCGTGTTCGGTGAGACACCACCTCGTTGCCTTCGCTTTTTTCAGACAAGTGGTTTGCGAGAGGCATTCTTACTTGACGTTGAACGCGCTTTTGCTTTGGCCAAGCTTGTCATCCTAGGCTACCTGGAAGCTCCCCTGCTGGAGCAAGGATATCGGGCCTTGCATGGTGTCATGTTCCCAGTAGCTGGAGAACAGGTTGGTCGTCCTTTTGGTGCCCGCGATCCAGGGACGACCGCGCGTCGACGTGATGTTCGCTAGCTTGTCAATCTTTGTGGACGCCCACGCGCCACATGCATCCCATCGCCACATTACGACAGTCATATCCATGACCTCAATGCTCGCCTGACAGGGCGCGCGCGCTAGCGGAGGCCAGGGCGTCCGGGCGCTGGACTTCCTGGAGGCGCGGCGGTTTCGCAAAGTTGCAAGTTTTTCGGCGTGGGTTTTTTCCACGAGTTTCACCAGGCATGGGACTTGGGGGCCCAGTGCAGGACGCGCAACGCGGCGCGACGACGTGCTCCAGATACGACAGCGCTCGCCGAGCAGTCTGAAAGTCGCCCCCGCCCACGCGCGGGAGTTCGAAGGGTCTCGACCCCGATTCCCGCGCAATAGCTGGGCGATCGCGACGCAGCGGGAGGGTGCAGGGATAATTTCTTCGCGTGCGTTGGAGGCTTTTGAGCGGGCATCTCGTTGGCGCGCTGTTTCTGGCAGGTCCGTTCCTGGACGGCTGCTGCTGAAATCGTAGGCTGCGCGCGATCTCCCTCGACGTCTTCGAGGCTCCGCGGGCGCTGGTTTCGAACGCGAAGACTCTGGTGCCCCGACCATTGCGCGCATCTTTTTCGCGTGAGCGCCGGCGCGGCGGCTGCCGGGAAGTTCCCCGGCCTGGGCCGGACATTCTAATGCGCGGCGCTCGAAGCTGATGGCGGCGCCCGGTATTCTCGCGCGCGTTGGCTTTTCCACCGCGCAGTGCGCCGCGGCGTTCGCCGCGCACTATCGCCTGGCATGGCGGCCCCTGCCGATCTTGGGCGGGTTCCGGATCGCAGACGGGAGATCGCTATCATGCGCGCTCAATTCGCGTCTTGACGTCTTCAGCGCGAGGCGGCCCCCCCGCGCGGACGCGCCCGGCGACGCGCTTGGCGCCCGCGACCGTTGCGAGGGCGATCGCACGGATGAAGCGCGGCTAGAACATCGACCGTTCATTCTGGCGCAGCGATGTTGGAGCGTTCTCGACGGGCCCGCGGACTGCGCGCTGATGCTGTCGATGGCGATGTGCAGTTTACATTTGCGGGCGTCACTTCATGGCGGTACTCTTGCGCCGAGCGAATCCCCAGCGGGTTTTGCCGCGCCTGTCAACGCGCGGCGGCGTCTGCCACCGCGGCCGTTCTGGCAGGTATCTTGCAATGCGTTTGATTGTGCGATCGGTGCCTTGCTCCGCGCGCACGTGAGCGACCTTCGCCAATTCCAATTGCTCGCCTCGGACTTTCCCTCTACGGGGGCGGAAGCTGCGCGCGCTGAGCGAGCGATCGGCGCCGAGACGCGCGCGCCGCGCGGCCTCGGGCGCAAGCCGCGGAAGAGATTGCACGTGCCCAGGTAGGCAGGACATCTCGGGAATCGCCGCTGCTATCGCGCCAGCGTTGGCGGCGCTCAATCCCCCTCTCGCGCGCGCGAGAATGGGCCGGCAATCTGTCTGCAGGCGCGATGGGGCCCCAGGTTCTGGCAAGGAAACGCGCGCGCGCTCGAGGTCGGCGCGCCCCTGCGGGAAGTCGAGCGTTGAGTTATCATCGGCGTCGTTTGGGGCACTCTTATCCCGGGCCTCACGCCTTGCCCCTGCGAGCGATTGGCGCGCCAACTCCAAGCGAGGTGCGTCATTTGGCGGGCCTCCACCCCGAGTCTTCGAGTTAGAGGCGCGCGTGGCTCGATCTCATCCCCTGTAGGCGTGAACTACGCATCCAGAAGTTGCGTTGGCATCGTAGCACGGCGAGATGGAGCATGGACCGCGCTCCGCCGATCGCGCCGCCGCGTGGATGGTGCACTTTCGAACTTTCGAGAGTTGCGACGCGATGGTCCACGGCGCACTTCCGAACGGCGCGGGCAATCATGCCCGGCGGTACGCAAGCGACGCGCACTGTCTCAGCGCTTGACCAACGTGTAGGACACTTGGGATAGGCGGGGGGCACCTAGCATTTTCGTTCTTCGACGATGAGGGTTTCCGCCGTGCGTTCCTGAACGCGGACGCTGGCGCGATGCGAAAGTTGTCAGAATTTGTCCGCGCGGCCCCCCATGCCGATCTAGGCGCCGTTCCCCGGGGGCGGCGAAGGGCACGGGGCTGCCGGGCTTGATTTGTGGCGTCGACAGCGCGCAGTGGATGGGCCGTTCTCGCGGAGCTGCGCTCGCGGCTCGCAAGGGCCCCGCGATGCACGGCGCGCGTTCGAAAGGAGGCGCGCGCGGCAAAACGTCGAGTGTCGTCCAAACATGCGACGTCTATCAGCGCCCGCGGCGTCTGCAGTCCGTCGCGCTTCCTCGCAGCGCAAAGAGCCGCTTGAAAGCGGCGCGCCGCGCGGGCGCGCGCGGCGTAAGTACTGCCCGCGCCATTTACCCAGTGGCGAACGTCCCCCCCGCGCCTCATCTGCAGCGCCGGCCGCCGCTCGGACGCGGCGAGCTGGGCGCCTTCCACCGCCTCCCGCGCCCCGCGCCGATGGAACCAGCTCGGGGCTTCAAACGCTAGGATCTAGAATGCGGCGCAGCTCGCGGTCGAGCGTCGGCCGTCGGCCCCCGCCGCTGCAGAAGGCAAAGGGGGGGGGGGGGGGGGGGGGGGGGGCGCCGCGGGCCGCCGCCGCCCCGCCGGGGCGCCCCAGCGCAAATGCGGGAACGACGCTCTGGCGCGCTCGCCGACTCGCGCTCTCGTCGCGAGCCAGGCGACGCGACCTGTGGAGCTCAGGGATAGACGCGCGGATCGCGGGCGCGGCGCTCCCAGAGTTGGCGGAGGCGCACGTCGCGGGCAGGGCGGACAGCGAGGCCGCGGAAGCAGCGGGCCGCGGCCACCAACGCGGCCCTCCTCGCCGGCATGCTTCTCCCGGGCTCGCGCGCGGCGCGCAGGCGTTCGAAACCTTTCAGCACCGGCGCCGGCTGTTTTTGCACATCCCAGCCACTTGAGGAGATCTGGCTCGCGGCGCGCCTCTTCCGCGCCACCGCGTGCCTCGATCAAGGGAAGATGAAGGTGCATTTGGCGCGCGTGGAGAACGATCGGAGCCACTTCCAGGCCGACCCGGTCACGCAATTGCCGGCGGCGTTCAAGCGAATTCTCTCGGAGGTCGGATGCCAGAGTGCGTTCGAGGCCGCTCATGTAAGGGGCATGGGGGCGATGTTGCAAAACGCGGTACCTGCGTAATCGCTTACATGTTGATTTGACTCTACGTTCGCGTGTCGCCCATGACCATCGCTTAGTTTGACTTGGTGGCGTGTTTCTTGCTGTGGCGATGGCTCGATCGCCCGCTGCATTTTGTCCTCCGCTACAGCTTGTTGTTTGTATTCAACTCGGTGGTTTTCAAGGCTTGGCTGGTAACGCAATGCGCTGGTGCCCGCGCTTCCTTGACTGCTGACCGTGGCTAGCCAGTGGCCGGTTTGTGGTGCGCGGCCAAGTGGGTAGTTTTTGTCACGTGGTGTTGTACGTTACTCATGACAATGACTGGTTATTGCGCGTTGTCGCGATGCTTTCCAATATGTGCTGCAGCGGCCTTGTGTGTTTCACTGATGTTCGTGCCAAAATCCCTCCCCGCCGTGGGTGAGGTCAGGCTTGAGGTTGCAGCGCTGTCGCCGCCTTACCTCCTCCCTCCCCGCGCATGCGTGACATTCTGTGTTGCGTTGAGGGCATCAGTGCGTGTGTGGGGTTATCCTCTGTCACGCGCGAGTCGTGTCCCACGCGTTGGCGCGGCTGCCTCCAGAGTTCAAGTTCTTTTTGTGTGGGGCTGCTTTGGCCCCCTCAAACTCTTTGCCTTGGGGCGTGGTCCATCTCCGGCAGGCAGTTGTGAGAAGTTGTTGTTGTTTTTTCGGAATGCCTTCACGCTGCTTTTGCATTCCAGCACGCCTCGTGTTGCGCGCTCTACCCCACAAAAGGCATATCAGTGGCCCCGTACCCCACAAAAGACATTCCGAAACACATTGCGCGTTTCCAGGCCGTTGTTTGTAATTATTGGTTGTATCACCCCTAATAGATTATTGGTATTACCAGTCTTATTGTTATAGCTGGGTTCTACGTCAATTTCCTCCTCTGCTGGATCCTTCTCCTCTTAATCCTCCTCCTCCTCCGTTTCCTTCCTCCTGCTCCCGCTTTTTCGTCAAGGACTGATGCAGCCCGCCGGCATGCAAAGGCACACAAACACGGGCCGTACCATCAGGAACCTCAAGGTTTCTCCTCCTCCTCATCATCATTCCTCTTCCCTCTTTCTTATCCTTCCTCCCTTCCTCCTTTTCCTGCACCCTCCCAGCTTCCTCCGTCCTCCCTCATTCGTTTTCCCCTCCTTTCCTTAAGAAATGAGTATTCCCTGCGACCCCCATCGAAGCGCCGCGCGCACTCGTCTGAAACATGTGCAAGATTATCACGATGGGGGGAGGGGCCGTTTTCAACATGTCCCATCCGCTTGAATGCCGAGCGCATTCGTGTTGAAAGTTTGCAGGGTTTCTCGTGTGGAGGGTGGTCCGGCTTCAAGATGATGTTCTCGTCGTAGTGCAGCGCGCATTCACCTTAAACGTTACAAACATATTACGTGTTGGGGCTGTTCCTTCCAAAATGCGGTTTTCATTTGGGCGCCGTGTGTATTCGTCTGAAGAGTGTGCCGCAGTTGCAAGGTCAACATTCCAGAAACATTACTTTGACACGGTATCGTATTGTTTTGGTAACAAACATGTGCATTCGCTGTGTTGCGCTCCAGGAGTGGTGTCTGGCGCAATTCAGAATCGTCAAGACGCAATTGGATCAGTTATTCTCTGCTTGGAAATCCCAGGAAGGGAGTTTTGGCACATATCCGGGATTTCAAAGGGTTGTTTGCTAACGGGGCATTTACCCTAATTAAGATGAAGCCTTGTCGGCCAGGGCCAACGAAGAAGGAAATTGGAGGAGGGGCTTCTTGCAATGGCGATACATTATCGATGATGAGTCGTGGGTTTACACTGGTCCTTCGCCTTCTCCTCCTCCCCCCTCTCCTCCTCTTTTTCTTCCCCCTCCTCTACCTTCTCCTCTTCCTCTTCGTTTTCCTCCTCCTCCTCCTCCTCCTCCTCCTCCTCCTCCTTCTAGTTGCCAGAGGACCGCCCAGAGGCAAGACCCCCCTTTCGGGCCGTGAGCCGAAGCCACCACGGAGGGTTTCTGGCAGCTCGGCGCTTCCCAAGGGCTCTTGCCAGGCCCAGGGGCCGTCAAACCAGCAATCCGGGATCAGCCGCAGGATCGGGGGAAGGTGTCGATCGCTCGCGTCTCGAAGGGAGCACAACGCCAGGGGTGTTGGCGCCCTTTCCTATTCCTTCCTCCTTCCCTTCCTCATCACTCTCTCTCCCTCTCCCTCCCGCTGTCTCTTTCTTCCTCCTCCTTTCTCTCCACCGTTGATATTTGACAGCTACCGCCGCTTGTTCCATTTTTGGAGGTAGGGGTTTTCTGTTGGCGAATCCAACACAGAAGTTAATATCACATATCACATATGCGTATTAGAACAGATGTTACATACCATCGCCTTCAAGTGAGATTGGGCCGTGGATGCAGGTCAGGCCGACGTCGTCGCATGAGGAAGCGAACAACAACCTGGTTGCAAACTGCAATGATTGCACATTATACAGCACATGTATTTAGTCTTATGTGCTCGCGTTTTAAGTTGAGGTCTTTAGCCCCAGGCTCTGAGCCACTCGCTTGAGAACTGACGGGGGTCTGGATAATCAGATTACTGCGTTGCGGGCACCGTGGTAGGGGTTCGCAGGCCATCGCCGCTTGTAGGGCTTCCTGGCCGCACTAGGGGATATGGATATTTCTTGGGGGGTCCCTTCTGTTTTTTATCCATATCCACTGCTGGCTGCTTGGGCGGGGTCGCCTGTGAGAGCTCGCGTTCTGGCCTGGCGTTTTGTCTCGTTGGCCGCGGCGTCACGGCCGTTGGGCAGATGATATCGCGGCACACCCACGGCAAAAAGAGGCCGTTCGAAGGCTCTGCCGAGGTCGTCAGGTTCGGCGACTGTGAACAACAGCGGTCGTGAAGTACACCTTAGGCGATGCTTAAGAAAACCTAAGTGTTCGTCCAGAGTCTCGATTATTCTTAACTTTCCAATGTAAATCCCAAGATTTTGATAGAAGTTCTGGGTTTTATTCAAGTTCTGAGACTATGAATTTCTTAACCCATGATTTCTTAAGCATTTCGCAGGGTGTACTCAGGCATGCCACTCCGTTGCTGGAAACCTCCGCTTGGAATGTGGGAGGCCCCTGCTCGGCCACGTCTGGGCCCTGTGGGCCAACCGCCCCGGTCGCTTCGCACATCCATGCCACGGAGGCAATCAGTCCTGCTGCTCGGGGAGCTGTCGGGGGAAATCCCCGCCAACATCGGATATGGTAGTAGATTGTCGGTACATTCTCACCTCTCCCTTTCCCCTGCCTCCCTCCCGCTTCCCAAGCCCGATAGCAGTCGCCATCTGTATGCGGCCCGCTGCAAATTGGACGGGGGGGCCGCGCCGCATCGCCGATGCATGAGGGATGCGGCGCGGTCTGGGGCCCGAATTTCTCCATCCCGACGCTCGCCCGAGAAGGAGTGCTTGATGAGGGGAGTCCTGGAGGTTTTTGTCGCCGCTCTCAAGCTCCAGAGTCCGTCCCCGGCCCACGGGGTGCCAGGCGGGCGCCACGAAGAATGCGGACCAGGACCGGCAGGAGTCCCTGCCACCTCCGAACGGGACTCGTGGTCGGCGTGGCCGCGGACGCTCTCAGACGAAGAGGGTCGCTTGCCCAGCGGCGGCCGCTGTCAGTCGGAGACGGCGCTCGCCATGTGGGCGCCGTGCCCACGCTTCACGAGGCGCGAGGGAGCACGAAGCTGGCCCCCCCGGGGCCCCCGGGTCCAGGGCCCGGTTCCCTCGGGACCACTTTGCGGGGGAGCGTCAAGCGGCCATCCTCGCCGAGCTTGGAAGGCCCAGCTTGGGCCCGCGATCGGTGCGCAGGGTCTCCTGGTTTGGCCTGGGAGGCGCAGACACCGATCTTTGGGGGCCCAAAAGGGGAGGCGTTGGCGTTGAGGTCTTTTCTCACATGCTCCTTTTTCTCCCTTCCTTCTCCTCTGTTTCTTGTTCCCCCTCCTTTCCCCTCCTCCTCCTTTCCGTCCTCCTCCCCCCTCTCTCCTCCCCTTTCCCCTTCCATTATTATGTATATCCTTCTTCTCCCGTTTCCTCCTCCTCTTCCTCCTTCTCCTCCTCCTGGCCCCAGGATGAAGAAGGGAGGAGGAAAGTAACTCAGGCAAGGAGGCGAGTCCCCGCTCCAACGGGAGTCGGCGTGGCCTTGGCAGCCCACACACCCCGAACAGAGCAAAACGCTCCTGTGGACAACTTCACGCACGGTTCAGGTGGTAAGCATCTCGTTCGTGCCGCCTGCCCGCCGCCCCCAGTTATGGACACGCCAGATCGGCACGGACGGGGACGACCTCGTGACGAGCGTCGGGGCCGACCCCTTGGACCACAGCATCATCGTTGGCGGCTACACGACAGGCCGCGGCGGCGCGCCGGAAGGGAGGCGTCGGGCGCCCTGCAGGAGCGCGGGCTGATGGAGAGATCGAGCAGGGAGGGGGCAGCGGAGGAGCAGAAGAGGAGCAGGGCAAGGTCAGAGAGGAGCAACCTCCACGTAAGTTGTCGGAGGTCCGCGCGGATTTCTTGGGTCGGCGTTGGACTCGTTGGCGGCGGCTTTGGCGCCGCCCCAGTCACGTTCCAGGGGTGGTCGCAGTGATCGAGATTTCACCCCACCTGAGGTGGAGGAGGGTACACCCCTCTTTCTCTCCCCCTCCTCATCCTACCATTCCTGCTCCTCTCCTCTTGCTCCTCCGCCCTCTCCCTTCTCATGTCGGCTTCGGCTTCGGAATCGCAGTCAGGTTGATCTGTTTCCGATGGGGCGGTCGTCGTGGACGACCTTGCTTACTCACAGGCCCCAGGATTTCCAAGGAGGCCCCCGCGGCCTCCAGGGCCCCCCCCGCAAAGCCCAGAGGACGCCAGCGGCTCCCATACAATGGAGCGACAAGCTGGCAATCGAGTCGGGGGCAGGGGGGCGCGAAAACCGCTGCATGCGGCTGGTTTCGGCCCCGCCCCGCCTTCCTCTCCCTGGCAGGCAGCATGATCGAGGGCGCGCCCATCGACCCTTTCACCGGCCTGCCGTCAGACATGAGTGGCGGCAAGGACTGCTTCCTGGCGAAGCTCTCCCAGTACGGAGAGCGACCTCCCCCCCAGGCAAGGGGAGGATCGAGGTGTTTGGCTGCTTGTGATCCATCTTGGCCCTCCTGGCGCCTCTGGGGAAGATGGTGGAGGAGGAAGAGGAGGCGGAGGAGGAGGAGGAGGAGGAGGAGGAGGAGGAGGAGGAGGAGGTGGAGAAGAGGCAGTCAGGAAGTTGGGTTCTCTATCTGTCGGGCTGGCAGGTTTCAATTGTGGTCGGAGGCGTTTCTTGCGGGGGGGGGCAGGGTTCCCAAGTGTCTTCAGGAGGTCCTCGAAGCCTCACCGCATCGCCAGAGGATCGGCGGTGCGGCGAGGCCCAGGCACCGCGCCAGTCCTCGCCCTCCTCTCAGACCGGCGGGACGCAAGGGATCCGTGGATGCACCGGCGGCGCGGTGCGGTCCTGGGCCCCCGTTGACACCACCGGGGCTGCCGTGTTCCGTCGCAGGCCGGACGCATGATTCAGAGCAGTCCGAGCCTCGCGGCGACGCCGCCGGGCGATCGGGAGGCGCGCAGAGGCCTCCGCGGCAACGTCCCGGGCAGGAGGGGGGCCGGGGTGCGGGGGCCACGTTGGGCGGGCATGGGCTCGAGAGGGGGCGCATCGACCCCCAGTCGCGCGCTGGCGGGGCGCCTTCGGATGCCTCCGGTGCGATCCGACTCGATTTCGATGTCTTCGGATTCCCAGTCGGTTCGACTTTGACGAACGAACAACACACACCCATGCCCATAGGGGGGTTCGTGGGGAGGACTGGCTATGGGTATGGGTGCGGGTTGTTGGACCCTGGGGAACGCTCCCGTTCGAGCGGGGCCCCCCACCCGGTAACACGCACCCATAGCCCTCTCCGACCCCCTTATGGGTATGGGTGTGTGTTGTTGGTTGGTCAGACTTGGGGTTCCGATTCGGGCTTCGACTTCTCGATGGAGGCCTACTAGCCTGCCGATTTCCGCCGATTCGATGATTCCCGACTTGGCTGCCGATTTCCACCGATCCGATTCATTTCGATCGCCGATCCGATTGTTCGAGTCGACTCTGGGCTCCTCATGCACCTCTCTATCCCCATTCGCGCCCGCTACGCAGTCGTCTGCAGCTTCTCGGCCCGATAGCTGCCCCGCTCGCCCCCCACTCCCCTCCCCGCGCGCGCGCGGCCGGGGCGCCAGGGGCCCGCGGGGCCATCGCCGTTCAGGTTTCCTCGACACCTACGCGGCGATCGTCGGCTCCGGGTTCGCCACCCCGCGCTGGCCCAAGTCGGTCGGGCCGGCGCCTGTGGCCCGTACGACGAGAGCGAGCGTCGGGGCCGACCGTCCGTTCTGAGCGGTGGTCGGTCGGGCAGGCGCGCCTTTCGGCACCCTGCCTGCCGTGGCCACCGGGCCTTGCTAGCACCGTCGCCGCTCGCTTTTCGGCGGGCGGTGCGGACAGGGCCCATGCCACGTCCTGCCGTTGGCAGGTCTCTCCAGCCTGCACCAGTCTGGTGGTCTTCGGCGCTCTCCACGCCGACTTCGGCGCAAAACTCCTCTCCCTCCTCCTTCGCCTTCTCCCCCTTGGCCTTTGGGGCGGCGGAGCAGGAGGCCCATCTGAGGAGAGGAGTAGGAGGGGGGCCTCACACGCCGCAGCGCCACGCCTTGCGTCGTGGCGCAGCGCCAGCCCTCGTCTCGGGCGTTCAATGCGCCGCCGCGCCTGGGGTCTCAGCCGCCGCTTCTACGCAAGACTTTCAGCCGCCGCGACAGAGACGCCCGACGGAGGGCACGGTGGCCAAAGGCGCTCCGACGCGCCGCCCAAGGGCTTCAGCCGCCGCGCAAGCCATGCCCGCCATTCCTGCTGCCAGCGAACCCAAGGCCAGCGTGTTCAACGCCGAAGCACCAGAGGGGTGCCCTGCGAAGATAACTGCGCTCTTGGGAAGGGAAGTGGTGGACGAGGATCTCTCTTACCTCCCCCCAACTCCTTCTCCTTGCCTCTACTTCGCCACCTGGCTCACCTGTGCCGCTAAGCATGGCGACCACTTTGTGGGCCCCGCCTGCTCCACCGTGGGCGGGGGAGCGTCACTCGCGGGGCACGCGGGCTCTGCCGCCGCCTCGGTTTCCTGGCCTTCGGCTGGAGGCATCGCCGCGGCCACTTCTGCCGACGATGCTGCTCGGACCGCCGGGGGCGGATACATTCGCGCACCTCCAGGCTTGGACCCGCTGCCTCCTGGGCCTCCGGTCAGGCAGATTGGGCCGCCTCCGGGCCTTGACGTCTTGGAGGTTGGTTCCCAGAGGCTCAGTGCGGCATGCCCGCGCCGTGGCGCTGCTGCGGCTTGGAGCCCCACGGTCGTCTATCAGGTCCGACCTGGGGCCACGGCGTCAGAGGCCGCGCTTCCTCTACTGAGGACGCCGCCTCCGCCGCCACAGGGTCGCCCCTGGAGCGGTGCGTTGGCCCTGGTGGAGGCGGGGTGCTCCGTCGTCCCTCCTCGGGGTTCTTCGGCGGCCATGTCCGACTGCGGCCTTGACGGGGGTAGTCCCTCCTTTTCGGGGGCGGCGCCGCGGTGTGGCTCGAAAGGGGTTGGCATGCGCCCTGCCAGCGATGCTGATACGGCCCCGCAGGGAGGGGCTCGTACCGCCCCCCCAGCCGCCACCGCAGTCCACCAGCCTGGCACCCCGCCGCGGAGCGGCCCCAGGGCCACCTCGGCCTTACGCGCCGACCTCCACTTGTGGGACCTGCACACGGGCTCCGACACTCAGGGTGTGGATCCGCCGCCAGGCCTCTCCGGCTCCGAAGCAGGCTCACGGGTGCCGCCTTTGGTCGCCCTCCGCGCGGCCCTTGCCTCGGATGGGGTGCAGCTGTTTAGCAGCGGGAGTATGCCGTGCACTGCGGCGTCGCCACTTCTGTCCGAGCGCTTCACGGTCGCCGACGGTGACCGCGCGGCCAGCGGAACACCCCTGAGCGCGGACTGGCATCGTGTCTCCGGGGATTCGCCCTCCCAGGCCAGGCAACTGAGGCCACCGTCCGGAGTTGCCGTCCCAGAAGCGGATGTTCATGCGCCGCCGCCGCTCCACCGTAGCGCGGTTGGTCCCGCCTCACTTCGGGCGGGCGCTGCCCGTGGGCGCATGTGGTATGGTGAGCGTGCAGGGCTCCTGCCTTTCACTAACCTCGAGGGCGGTGTCGGCGCGCCAGCTGCCGGAGGGCCACCTCCCCAGTCAAGCGCCCGCGAAGGGTTGCGCTCGCTCGGGCGACTCGGCGATGCGACCTTGTCTCTGTTAGCCCCTCCACGTCACGAGGCGGCGGTTGCGACGGCGCCCGCCGCCGTCGCCGCTGTTTCTCTGGGGGCTGTCGCAGCGACTGCTCGCCAGGCGACTCCTTTGCCCGCCGCAGCCGCGTTCGGTAGCGGAGGAAGTGGGGTCGCGTCGAGTGGCTCCACCGCGGCCTCTGTTCCCGCTGCCTCCGCAGGCGAGCCCCCGCTGTCGTTCAAAGGAGTCACTGCTGCAAACGCGGGGCTTCCTGCGAGCGGAGTGGCTCGCTGGGGCCTTCGCGACCCGCCGCGGTCGCTCGGGGTTCGCGCGGATCCCCCCGCATCCCCGCCAGGTCCATCTTCGGCGCCGGCGGAAACCACTCAGAGCGCCTCTGCTGCGAGCGCAGGGCCCCTGGCGAGCAATGCGTCCAGCTCGAGCCCTCGCGACCTGCCGTGGTCGATCGGGGTACGTGGGGCCCCCCCCGCGTCCCTGCCAGGCTCGTCCCCTTCGTTGGCGGACGCCCTCCGGAAGTCGGCGATTCCCTGCCTAGGGGCCTCACCCCTGCCTCCAAGGGAGCCGCTTGCGGTCAGTGCCTCCAGTGCGAGCGCCCACGCCATCTTGCACCCGCTCGGGCTGCTCGGGAATCCAACCTCGGCGTCGACGGACCCCGCGTCCCTGCCAGTGTCGGCCCCCTTGTTGTCAGGCGCTACGCGGCATGTTTCTGCTGCTGCTGCAGATGGTTTCGGGGTAGCTGGTACCTGCCTGCCGGGCGCCGCTGCTTCGGCGCCACAGAGCACGGGTCGCACCGATCCCTCAGCCCCCGCCGCAGCTCGCGATTTGGGCACGCCGCCGCAAAGCTGTCCTATGGCCACTTCGCCGTGTCTTCCAGGCTTCCTGCCCCCACCAGGGCTGGAGCCGCCGTCACGGCCGTGTGCCTCGCGTCGCTCTGGGGGCGCCCTCCGCGAGGCTAGAGGCGCTCCAGCCCTTCGCCGACGTGGCGGTTCGTCTGGGTTTACTGCCATTCGGGATCGCGGCCACGTTGGCCAGGGCACCTGCGCCACCTCATCGCGTCCAGCTGCGCGCTGGGACCCCAGCTTCGGCGCTCGTCTCAGCGTGGGGGAAGGCTCGGTCGAACGCCCCTCCGCCGGCGCTCCCGTCTGCCCCTCCCGCGCGCGTCCCCCCGCCACTTGGGCGGGCCGACCCCGCTGCGGTCGCCGGCTCCGCCGAGGGGGTCGCAGGGGACGCACTGGGGCTGCCTGCCGAGGCGCCCCAGAGGGCTCTCGATCTGGCTTTCATCTGCCAGCGGGAGGCGCTGCAGCGGTGCATGTTCATCGTCCAGCTGGTGGGGGGCCGCGGCTACCTCGGAACCGCATGGTTCCTCACGGGGATCAAGCCCCCCCCGTGTCGCGTGACCTGGTGCGGGTGGCGGCAGGCCCTTGCCGCGCCCGTTCCGCCGGCTCCCAGGCCGCCGGCGGAGCCGCCCTCCACGGCGGCGCATCCCACCACAGGGGTGGACGCACGCGAGCTGCGTGCACCGGCCGAGGGTTCACGCAGCGGCGAGTCGCTGTAAGCGACGACGCTGCTGCTGCCAGGCGTGCCTGGGCTGAGCGAGGCCGTGAGAGTAGGCACGCGCTCTTCCAGCGATGCTGTTGCGGCCCCGCAGGGAGGAGTTCGTGCCGCTGTCGCGACTCTCGCTCTACCCCTGGCTCCCCTTCAGGGCCGAGTGGCCATTTTGGCAATTTTCACCGTGCCGCCTCTACAGGTGCTGGTTCAGGTGCCGAGGCCCCCGCTTCTGGGGCTC